CATTAGTCATTAGTATAGGGCTAGGATTTGTATGAAACTGGGTGTTATTTTTGAGATTTCTGATCATTGATTTTGTCAGTTATGACCACGAATCACCTCATGAAGCGATAGATAGTGGTGTTTTTATTTTGCATGTTATTGCACATTTTGGATAACATGCATATTATTGCATATTTCGATTATAAGATTGTAAAAAACGCATATTTTATAGTATTATATTTCGTAATTAATATTTATTATTTAATATTAATATTTTGTATTTAATTGTAGCCCTGCTGATTAAAGAATAAAACTTGGTTTGTAAACATACTTTTTATTTTTATAAATACAGTCCTATGGACAATAGGTACCTATGCGGTAATAGAGAAGCATGTAACACACATATTTCTACTATTAATATAATATAATTGAGAAATAATATAAAATAAAATAATAAAGAAATAAAATATATAATTCACATTTAAGACAAACAGCCAAATGTGATGTATTTCAATAAATAAATATTTTTTTCGTAACTATATGTTTGTGTTTATCTTATAAAAATTTAAATGCATATTTTACAATCTTTTATTGCATACAAATCCTAGCCCTGGTCATTAGTACTGATTACAGTGTGTAAATAAATAGTATTTTGATTGAGTCAAACTTGTGTTTTTTTTTAATAATCTAATTTAATGTGTTGTAGAAATAACATGACTCGCTGATTGTGCAAATTGTAATTTTTCCATCATTATTAACTCGTTGAAATACGCAAAGAAATAAAAAATCAAAATTATTTATAAATGTTGCAGTAAAGTACTGTGTTGTGCGTGTGCGTATAAACTTAAAATCGCAAACTTATAAATGAAACATATAAAACATATAAATTCCAAAATAATGATTTTCGATAATGCTTTTGTACCATTATTGTTATTAACTCATTGAAATACATGTGTTTAAACAAAAAAAATTGTTATTGCACATCTAGAGAATTAGAGGAACCACTATTCCAAATTTCAAGTCGCTACCTATATAGGTATATAATAGCTTAGGCTGGGTGACTAGTGGGCGTTGATTATGAATCAGTCAGGACTTCTTGTTTTATATTATTCATAAATGTATTTCATTTTAATACATTTTATAATTTAATAATTGTTAAAAAAAATATCATTTTACATTTCATTTTCATACATTTTATAGTTTAATAATTTTTACAAAAAAAATATATTATTGTTTTATATCGAAAAATAGTGGCGTAATTATGAATTTGTATAGGGGAGGGGATAGACATTTTTTTAAACGCAAAATGCTAAATACTAAATAAATAAAATAAATATAATAAATACAAAATTTTAAAGTACAGTGGTGAGTGGTAGCTGTGAATATAGGTACTATTTTATCAAAATTCCTAAAACTTATTAGATTTTGCTTTAAAATTCTACACAATTTAGTACCTATACCTACAATATATTATAATATATTTGGCATAAATTCACTTTATATTACCCAGCTACCCAGAATTTTTTTAGATTTTTTCGAAAGTTAAACTAGTTAAGACTTCAGAATGATGGTGCGAAAAACAATTTGCTGAAATCATTATTTTGGAAGATATAGCCTTCCAAAGTTGGCGAATTTACGTATTTTAACGAGTTAAGAACGATAGGGAAATGAGCGGTTATACACCAATAACAAACCCTGATACTATCATAGATATATAGTAGTATACTTTAGAAGTTTCAAGTACCCACAAATAATATTACACAATCACAACAAAATAACTAAAATAGTTATTCAAGGTTTTTTATTATGTAATTTCGTCCAAATTTGAATTTAAAATGTCTGTAAAAAATTACTGTGTACATATATTTTTTAGATTTTTTGGTTACAGTATGAACTATTTATGAGAACCTTTGTTTTAAATTTGCGATCCTTAGCTATAAAAACTGAACATTTTATAATTTATTAATTACAATGATTGATAATTTTCGAGATTTTGATAAATTTTGTCAAAACGCGATCTTTAAATGCTTATAAAAAAAATTGTGTCTATGTATTTTTAATATTTTTCAATTGCTATTGTAACAATATATCAGGAGCCTTGTATTAATTTTTTACACTTTTTGGCTTAACAGATAAAACTTTATTGATATTTATAGAAAAAAAAAACTAAAAAAATTGAAAACTGAAAATGTCAGTAAACAGCTCAAAAAGAGTCAAAATATTTTCAAAATTGTATGGTGTATAGAAAATGCTAATATAAACATTCAGTGAAATTTTCATGTATCTACAGTTATTCGTTTTTGAATTACAACAAAATAAGGAAATCGCTACATGAGAAATGAGTAAATATCCTATGTTGTAAAAATTTGAATTTCAAACGCTCATAAAAATTTAATTTGACTTTCCGGTAGAGATTTTTTTATTGATAGAGGTAGAAAAACTTATGAGTAATCTCTATTACATTTTCAAATCTTAGATTTAAAAAGAAAAATTTTTACGAATTCTTAACTCAAAACAATTTGCTAATTTTCGGGATTTTTCCATATTTTGTCAATTTTTGAACTTTAAATGCTTATAAAAAAAACATGTGACTGAGGATTTTTAATATTTTTCATCTGCTTTTGAAAAAATATACTAGGAGCCTTCTATTAAATTTTCAAGTTTCTTTACTCAACAAATAACATTTTATTGATATTCATAAAAAAAAACTAATAAAATTGGAAACTGAAAATGTCCCTAAACAGTTCAAAATAAATCAAAATATTTTGAAAATTTTATCGTGTATAGAAAATGCAAATATAAACAACCAGCGAAAATGTCATGTACCTAAAGTTACACCAAAAACCAAATTCGATTTTGCTAAAATATCCCGTTTTTTTTCTTAATTTTTAGGAATTTCTTAATTACCAGGAATTTTAAATTTTGACCTCCTCGATGCACCAACGATATTCACTTTTAACTCTTTGAGGGGCGAAAATTTCTTTTGGATAAAAGACCCATGTGGGCAATATGTCTCTTTACCATAACATTTAGTACGTATATCAAAATATTGATAATGATAATAAATGATGAAAAACGCGGGAAATGATATCAGACCAGCGGCAGCGATATTGTTAGATGCATGTATAAGATGATAATAATGTGGTTGGTATGCTGACCACCATCAAAAAAATATTAAAAATAATTTTAAAAGTGGTTAAAATAGTAACCACCGCACCTGAACGGTAAAAAAAAAAGTGGTTAGCATACTAACCACGGCCCCTCAAAGTGTTAAATCGAACAAGATACTGAAGTTGAAAATCGAAGCATTATTTCGACTACTTATCGTGTGCACAGACACAAATAAACTAAAAAAAAAAAAAAAAAAAAACACCCATCATTGTAAAATCAATACATTCATCGTTCAGAATCTAAAATATATTTTATAATAACGTTTGATCATGTAACGAAGGTAATATATGCCCTTAAAATTAATTGACAAATTGATTGACGGATAAAAGTTTTTTGTCCATCAATTCAATTTATGAGGATAATAAATAAAAAAAAAAATGAATCCATTTAAATAAAACCGTCAAACAATTACGTTCAACTATGACGTGGTTATAATGTATATATATTAAGTTTTATCTTATTTTTCTGGGTTCGATCAATTAATATTCGATGGTATATAATATTCTATACCTATATACATAGGTACATATTATAATATTATATACCGATAAAAATAAAAGATTGATAAAATATATGTTAATTTTCAAATGTGTCAGTGTGTTCAATTTGTCATTTATTATCAGATTGCCATGCGTACCTATACAATATTACAATACTCGAATACTGTAAATAATAAAATAATATAATGGCATTTCGATGACGGTGCAAAATTTTCGTTGAACTTCTGCACAAGGTAGGATTTTGATTTTGATTTTGAATAAACGATGTGAAGTTTTTTAACGAGAGTAGGTATATTATATACAGAGTGTCCCACGAGGATTTACTATTTTTAAGTGCAGTCGTCCGGTGGTATATTTACATTTTACAAAACTCCCACCGTTTTAAGAATAATTATATATGATTAGTAAATCTTCGTTGTCTCAAACGATAAATTTTCTTTACGTTGATCGGATTTCAATGGCAAGTTTGGAGGAGAAAACATACTTAAAATATTTAATAAAGCGTCATTGGGATTGACGTCACTCACATAGGCGTGTTCAGACTTTGGTGGCCGAGGGGGCACAACAAGTTTTTAAAATGTGAGACATATTTCTTATTTTGAACATGAAGAAACATTATTTTTTTATGTTACAAAATTCACAATGGTAGGAATATTTTATAATTATGTTCAAAAAGTATAACCTTTGTCAAAACAATAAAAATACATTTAAAACTAAATTAAAAACAGATACATAATGAAGTAAATTGTTCATAAAAATAAAGTGCTTATATTATATGATTATTAGGTATAATATTATAGGGCTTACCACTGGGTATCCTCCCTAAACACACTATCCATGTTAATCTTTTGTTATTCACTTATCAAACCTACGTATTTTACAAAAATTAATGTATAGATTGTAGATTAATTTCAATAAAAATAAAAAAATAAAAAAATATTACATGATAATATAATCACTAATTAATAAATGCGTAACTAAAAAAATTACAATTAATCAAAATCTATAGGTTCCTACTGCAGGGTACACACCTTACGACTTTTTTTATCCTAGCTATTTTGTTGGAAACATAGTCTGCCGGGGGGCCAGTGCCCACCCGGCCCCTCTCCTGAACACGCCTACGGTCACTCATCAATGACATAGGCGGACCCAGTGGCGTCGTTGGGGGGGCTTGAGGGGGCTTAGTTCCCCCAGTTCGAATAATAGCCCCCCCCCCAAAAGAAATCTTTGGGCCATCTAAATTTTAAAAATATTCAAATCAATAATTTTCATGTTATTAAAATATTAATACAATCATATACAACACGATTAAAGTTGAAGACACATCGATTGTTTTAATCTGTCCATATCATGTCGTTAAGGTTAAATTGTGCTTATTTTATTGAAATACGTCTATACGTCATCTATTCATTATTTTATTATGCGTCGCTTAAAGCTGAAATGACGGTAGCTAAAAACTGCTTGGGAAAAGACGAGGGTTCAGAAACTAAAAATCGAATAAGTTCATATCAAAAATTTATTAAAGTTGAAACATTTCCCAATGTGTACAAACTACTGAACTTGGCTTTAAGTATACCAATTACTTCAGCATCTTGTGGACGGTCTTTTTCAACCATGCGAAGAATTAATACTTATATACGCTCCACCATGAGTCATGATCGTTTTTCGTCCCTAGCTATTATCAATATAGAAAGAGATATATCAAATAGTATTAATTCTGATGATATTTTAGAGATATACTCTAAAGAAAATAGACGTTTAATTTTATAAGTAAAAAAAAAAAAATGGAATATTTTAATAAAACCTTAGATTGTCACACATTATTTGTATTTTATGATGTATATCCGCAGATGTACACTGGTTACCCCAGGAAGGGCTGAAGCCCCCCCCCCCCCAAAAAAAAGATTTAACCACCCTACGCCTATGGGAGGACCTACAGTTTTGAGGTCTATACGGTTTATAGCCGTCAGCGTTACGTATACGAGTCCGATGAGGAATATTACTTTTTTTTTAAAAGCTATATGACCATTTTTAGAAGCATTCAAAACTGTCGATCGCAGCGAAACACGGTTGTTATTTTTTTTTTTGTTAGTAAACGATATCGCGGTCCATACAGCTCGTTCCATTTCTTCTAGATTCGAAGTCATATCGTTCAACGTTTTTCTACCACCCATATATCCCTGCCGTACCGAAAACGGATTTATCGTTATTGTTTGCGAGGTTGATGTCTCGTTTTGATCTAGACTAGGGGTCGTGGTTGTGAACGGGTACAGTGGCGGAACTAGGGGGGTGAAGCCTGGGATTGATCCCCGGCCGTAAAATTTTAGTGGGCTTAATTTTTCATTAGTTCTTTATTTAATGCTTGGTGATAGAAGTTAAGAAAACATTTTTATTTCACATTATTTGTTTATGATGCTGTAGTGATGACGTTGGTATTAATGAAAAAAAAAATAAAGTTAATGGTGTTATGAATAGAATCGTATTAGTATACTAAGTATATACTGGTATACTGGCATTAGCATACCTACTGCAAGCATATACAACTAATATACTATAATTATTAAGATTCGGAGTGAAAATGTAACTAGTAACTATACCTAGGCATTTATTGATGCTGTGTTTTCGTTAAAATTTCTGATACCTACACAATAACTGTTATAAGATTATCAATCAACGTACGATACGTATATTATATCTGTATATTAAAAATGATGTTAATATATAGTTTATAATATTATATATTATAATATTTACCAAGATAGTTATACATTTGCTTATATTTAAAAAAAAAGATTTGATTTTAAATATTTACTTTTTCATTTTTTTTATTATAAATTGTTTAATTAAATACAATTTTTTACTGGCCTAAATTGTGTACCCTAATCAGAATAAAAGATTTTATATTTTTCCATAAAAATCTATTATAATTGAAGGCTAAGGCGCATAGAACCAAAACAGCAAAAGGGTTTATAATTTTTATACAGGATAGGTAGGTAATTAAAGTTTTGATTATTTTTCAACATTTATATATAACTAATATTATTATTATTTCTAATAATAAATACAATTAAGTAACCACTACAGTATTTCCAGTAATTAAAAATGTATCAACAATATGTTAACTAAGTTTTTAAATTTAAAGTGTTTTTGGTGTGATAGTTATTAGTATAAACTTGGTTACACCACAGTCCACAGAATATATTAACTCTTTGAGGGGCCGTGGTTAGTATGCTAACCACTTTTTTTTTTACCGTTCAGGTGCGGTGGTTACTATTTTAACCACTTTTAAAATTATTTTTAATATTTGTTTGATGATGGTCAGCATACCAATAACCTTATTATCATCTTATACATGCATCAAACAATATCACTGCCGCTGGTCTGATATCATTTCTCGCGTTTTTCATCATTTATTATCATTATCAATATTTTGATATATGTACTAAATGTTATGGTAAAGAGACATATTGCCCACATGGGTCTTTTTTCTAAAGGAAATTTTTGCCCCTCAAAGAGTTAATTACTATAAATATTATTATGTGTTTAAAAGTTAATAAGTATGTTTGTAATTTTAGTTCCAGTTATGATAAAACAACTGTAGGGAATGATATTGTATTTTTAATCTTGGTCTATGATTATTGATTGGGCTTAATTTTAATATTTTCCCCGGGCGTAAAAATTCTTAGATCCGCCTCTGAACGGGTATTAGAATACACGGGCGTCGGGCACACGGAGCCCGGATACGCGGGCAAAAAATATATTAACGCCCGTGTAAATCCCTCTAATAATATTCGACTTCCTATCCCTTATTTTTCTCATCACTACTGAGGCTTTATCACGTGGATTTTTGTTGTTCGAGTGAACGACTGGTGAAAATTCTGGACATATCGTAAATATTTCTGTTTCCGTACAATGCAGAAGCTGAGTTTCCGCGAAAGTGGTATATTGTTCCGTATATTATATTATTACTTATAAAATAAACAACATGCACAATATACTCGTATAATTATTCATAAAATAAATTTCGTAAACGCGCGTCGTACGTCGTAAATGGACGAGTACCTATCTAATAACACGTTAAACCATAGGTTCTTAACCGAGGGTCCGTAGATGGTTACTCAGGGGTCCACGGGGTGACTGTGAGTTTTTTGGATTACGTGAAAATAAATTTGTTTTGATAGCGTTTTTAAGATAACATTAATAATGTCTTGCCCGCATTCTGCCACTAAGCAACAATCTAGTTGTGCTTGAAAATTAATTTGGTTTAAATTTCATTCAATTATTTAGATTCTACATTTTTGAAATCAGAAACATGGATACACAATCCTTTTCTAGTGGAATTAAATACAATTAATGATTCAGACCTCGTTCAAGACATATTAATTGATTTAAGATCAAAAGAAATGGCACACCACGATTTTCAAACAAAAAATTTAATCGAATTTTGGTGTTCATTGACAAAGGCTTATCCGCGAGCTGTATCAATGGCAATGACATTTTTGATTCCATTTCCTACTACCTATCTCTGTGAGTCTGGATTTTTTTACAATGGTCACAATTAAAATAAAGCAAGAAATTGATTGGACATTAAGGACAATATACGTGTTACTCTGTTCAATATGGTCCCAGATTTCAAGGCAATATTACAATCAAAACAACAGCAAATGTCACATTAAAATTGGTTTTTGGCTATAAGAAAAAGTGATAATTACCAATAATTGAATATAGTATTAAGTCATAGATTTATCATTAAAAAAAATTAAATATTAAAATAAAAATTTTATTTACCTATTTATTTATATATTTTATTTTTTTCTTGGAGGGGGGTCCGTGATTATATTTTATACTTCAAAGGGGTCCATGGCCCAGAAAAGGTTAAGAATCTATGCGTTAAACGTTCAATCGCCTATGCTACGCGTGTTAAATTTCGATACGGTTTATCCCCTCACCCGTTCCGCTCGCCCAGTTCCGCGATGTTTCATGCGTACGCGCTTGTACCGAGTTCGAATATTATTAAAACAATCATTTTATATTGGCTTACATTTATGTGTTTCATTTAATATTAATATAAATAATTTTAAGAATCTTTCTACTTTTAAAAAATATATATAAAAAAATTAAATTTAGATTGTATTTAATTTGTGTTATTGCCTCTTATTATATTGTTTTACTCCATTTAATAATCTTTATATATTTGTCTTTAGTCTGGTTAAGTCTTTTTTTACTGTTCATCAATGTAATTTATATTTTTTAATAATCATATTCTACTATAGTACATACTTATACCTTACTTAAATTCTTTTAAGAACTGGCTCTCCCAGCACAAGCTCTGCTTTTTGGGAGTGCTGCAATATTGTTTAATTTTTATAAAATGTATAAAGTTATATTTTATTATTTTATTTTAATATGTAAAGATGTTATTGTTGCAATAAAGTTATTATTATATATTACATATTTTTGTACGTAGAGTACCTATTTTATATGCAAAAGTCCACCTATTAAGGTATTCATTTTGTGTGAATTAATAGACAATATAGCGTCCTTGATCCACCAAAAAATAAAATATTGCGTAAACGCTGGTCGTACGTCGTAAATGGACGAGTACCTGTCTAATAACACGTTAAACGTTCAATCGCCTATGCTAGGGTGCGACTCGTTTGCGCACACATATTTTGGGTTTAAATTATAAAGGTACAACTCATTTGCGCACATTTCACTTTGAGCAGAACAGCACATTTCTCTTCTCACTTTAATATAGGCTTAGGACCATCTGTTTTGTACAGATTAAAAATGTGCATGTCGTGTGTGTCTGTTCTGAATAAATATATAATTATACAATTAATAAGAAGTAATAGTGGTTCTATGCGTGTTTTTAATTTTTAAAATTTTATATTTTTTTATTATTAACTAACCTTACTACATCACTCAAGGAACATTTTTTATTTGTACACCTAAAATGTGTATCACTAGATTTTAAAGTTCGAAATTCTCTTTCAAAAATATCACAAATTTCGATATCCATAGTCACTAGTCAGTAGGTAGTACCGCTTTCTGGAGAACGACTGCTTAAAAATATTATGTTTAATACACGTCGATTATTTTCAATGATGATAATGATATATTGAATATTGATATGCTGATGTACTGATAATCAATTACTTAAGTTAGTCCAAATTTAAAAATATAAAATATATGTTATGCAGTGTTTATGTTGTGCGCAAACGAGTCATCGATATCTAGGTAAACAATTTGGATTGTGCGCAAACGAGTTGCACCGCCTATGCTACGCGGGCGTAACTCCTTTCGCCCAAAAACGACCTTCCTCTTTTCGCCCACGTCCTCTTTTCGACCAAGTATGATAAAATAGTTTCCTCTTTTCGCCTAAAAATAATTGCATTCTTTTCGCCCACGGTTTTATGTTCGACATTTTGGAAAGCACTGTCTCAAAAATTAATTTAATAAAGCCATTTAGCATAAACCAGAGAGCACCACGAGGAGGCGGCTTCTATTACTCTCCAAAAATGTATTTGTGTTTGTTTGTTAAAATAATTATTATATAATATAAAATAGGTATGTATTTGTCATTAGTTGTTATGATGTCGTAAAAAAAATGTTATGTCATGGATTAGGATTTAATTTAAATTTAAATTTTTTGTGTAGTTGAATGATATTGATTTAAGAAATGCATACCGACTTATCTCTCCTCTATTGTACTGTTGTATTTTGTCTTCATTTTTTAGTTGACGATCTTTTACTTTCCTATCTTGTAT